CAATTTGATATAGGACTCTAATAGCATTTCAAACCTAATTCTTGTTGACGTAAACTTCAATTAGAATTTTCAATACTTTAAATAAGGAATTTGAGTCACACCAAAATTCTAACAATCTCCACCCGACACGAATTTCAGCCAATAACAAAAAAATTAATTTTTCTAACAAAACACAATACTCCACCTCTTCCAATGAATCCAAGCACTAATCTTGTAGAATTATCTCAAATTTTCAAAAATCATAATGATTTTATAATTATCAAAATGGGTTGCAGCACATCGCAAACACATGAAACTATAACAAACCCACAATTATGTAAGAATCAATCATGACAATTTTAAATTTATTCAGATTATTCATTATATAGTTTTACTCGATCCAACACGAGAGAATGTACATTTTACGTATGGTATTAAATTTCATTTTTTTCTTTGCTAGTCAAGTATTAAGATATTTTGATCAACTTAATGATTGAGAATTTTGATAAGAACACATTTGCATTTAAGTAAAAAAGGGCCCACAAATAAAAAAATATCAAGGTGAAGAACCTATCTTCATTGGTGAGAAAGATTATTCTTTGAATTATTCTTGGTTATTTTTTTTTAAAGATGTATATTTGATAACAAGAAAAATGTTCTCTTTAAATTATTTTTCAGAAAAAAAGCCTATCTGGTAGGCTAAAAAATACTACATCCATATCACAAAAATTGTTTCGATTTTCACATAGAATAAAGAAATATAATTAATATAGTTGAAAATGTAATTTTTTTTTCCTTATATTTGCATTATAAAATAATTTAAACAGAAGTAGTTCATATTTTTGATAATAAGACGCATTAAATAGAGATATTTTAGAAAATTAAAAAAATATTTATATTTTCAATAAGGAGTGATCTACAATTTAGAATAGACGAAAAAGGATAGTAAATTTATCTTTATGACGAATAATCTTTTTCAAAGTAAACAATTGACCTCGACACGTAGTGAAAGGTACCTGGGATATTGTATAGCATATTCTTGGGTGATGGTGGCAGTGATTAGGGATGACGAAGGTGATGTGTTGGCCGCATCCCATTATAGATTTATATGTTGTCTCTCTCCGAAAGATGCTGAAGCATTAGCACTAGGAACGGGACACATATTTACCATAAAAGAGTGGTTTCAAGGAGGAATGCAATACATTAATACAGCCAGAAACATAAACAGATAAATAACACAATCAAAATCTATTGACTCTTTAAGAATGTCAAGAATTGATAGTCAACGCTCAACTGTATATCGAAAACTGATTAAAATCAGAATACTCGTTGAGTTACAAATGAATATCGAAAAATCAAACTCGTTCGTTCAAAATTAAATGTCGAGATTGGAATGAAAAGGAATTTAGAAGTACTCTTCAAAGACTTTATTTTTAATAATTAACAACCAAGAAACAATTAAACTCTAAAAAAGAGAGTTCAAATACTAATAAAACATAGAAAAAAAATTCTACAGTGAAATAAAGACTAAAATGTGCTTAAAATAATTAAATAATTGTGTCAATTGAGATAAAACAAATTAATAAATAATTTAATAAAATCCATCTTCATCGATTGGAGTTTAGTGTCTAACGTCTCTATTAATTGTGGCAAGTATTGTAGATCTCATTTGAGAGACTGAATGTGGCTCTT